CACAATTTCACATATTATAATATAATAATAAATAGAGCAAACATCAAAGAATTATAAGAAGAAAGTCAGAAAGCCTATCGGGACTAACATGACTCATAAATCAAGCAGAAAAAATTAGGAAGGATATAGAGGCTTTGAATAAAATATTAGCAAGTGTGATCTAATATATATATATATATGTTTCTAAAAACTTCACAACTGTGGATAGAATCTTTGTAAAATTTGACCATGAGGTCAAAAAGGAAATCTCAACGACTTTGAATAATTCATATCATACCGACCACAATATCTTACCACATAATTAAATTAGAAATAGTTTAAATGATAAATAAACACCCCACTCTCTCCCTTTTCCCACCTATTGGGAAACTTAGGAACACAACTTTGAATAACTCTGAATAAAGATGAAATAAATGCCATAACAAGCAATATTTATAGCTGAATAATAAATATATTAAAATAAAAAATTGTGTGATATAGGGACGCCTGGGTGGTTCATGTCTGATTCTTGATTTCAGCTCAGGTCGTGATCTCATGGTTTGTGAGTTCCAGCCCTGCTAACAGCTCTGTGCTGTCAATGCAGAGCCTGCTTGGGATTCTCTCTCTCCCTCTCTCTCTCTGCCCCTCCTCCACTCGTGCTCTCTCTCAAAATAAATAAATAAACTTTTTTAAAAAGACTACATTTTAGTTAAGGTGCAAAAGCAGGAACCATACAGGGAAAGAGATGCATTTTGCTACATAAAGCCTGAAGATGCTGCCTACACAGAGTTAAAAACCCAGGAAACATGGACTATATAACAAAGTAGACATATTCGGAAAATACACAGAATTCCTAGAAATCATTTAAAAAGAAAAACTGCTCAATAGAAACATGAAGAAATGCAATGCACAAGGGGTGGGGGGAAGTCCACGTGGTCACTGTGCGTTGGACTTGATGCCTAATCCTCAGGCGGTCACAACCGGAAGAGGCCGCATTTATCTAGCGCTGGCCCCGTGGGAGGCACGGCTGGCGGAGTATCGTCCGGGCAACCTCTGCAGAGAGCAATTTGGGATTATCTGGTGATGTGGGAGTTGCTCATTTACGTGTATATCCTAGAGAAGTAGTTCTTAAGCTCCAGCTTGTTTCAGAATCACTGGGAGGGCTTGTGAACGCACACCTTGCTGGGCTCTGCTTCTAGAGTTTTCTAACGCAGCTGGTCTGGGGAAGGGACTGAGGATTTGCGTTCTGACGTGTTCCTGGTGATGCTGTTGCTGCCGCTGGGATCACACTTTGAGAACTGCTGCCCCTAGAAGCCTTTTGCACCACGTGACATGCACAAAAATGTTCCTTGTTAGGAACACAAGAAGGGGGAAGAATATAAATGCTCACCAGCAACAGAATGAATATGTAAACTGTGGGTTGTTTTTTTTTTTTTACTATAGCAGAATATGCATAGAAATGAAAATAAATGAACTAGAGATGAGTATAACAAAATATAAAAAGCAATATGCAATGAAAAAAGCCAATTACAAAGTGATATACGGAGCTTGATACCATCTATACACATTTTAAAGGCATGTAAGACACACAACATGATGTTTATGGGCGACAAATGGTATAAAATCAAGCATAAGTAGGGTATTTAGTGTATTTGTTAATTGTGAGGAGGGGGTAAGGGCTGAAATGGATAAACAGAGGGCCTCAACTGTATCTGCATTGTTTCTATCTATCTATCTATCTATCTATCTATCTATCTATCATCTATCTAAAATTTTTTTAATGTTTATTTATTTTTGAGAGACATAGAGAGAGAGGGAATGAGCAAGTGGGAGCGGAGCAGAAAGAGATGGAGACACAGAATCTGAAGCAGGCTCCAGGCTTTGAGCTGTCAGCACAGAGCCCGATGCAGGGCTCGAACTCACAGACTGTGAGATGATGACCTGAGCTGAAGGCAGACACTTAACTGACTGAGCCACCCAGGCACCTCTGTCTGTATGTCTGTCTATCTATCTATCTATCTATCTATCTATCTATCTATCTATCTATGTATCAATCAATCATCTATCATCATATATCTATCATTAATTGTATTTTCTTAAAAAACTATCTTAAGTAAATATTCCAATCCTAGTTCAGGCCACTATAACAGAATACCATTGACAGTTTGGTTTATTAACAACAGAGACCTATTTCTCACAGTTCTGGAGGCTGAAATTCTGAGGTCAGGGAGCCAGCATTGTTGGGTTCAGGTGAGAGCCCTCTTTTGGGGTAACTACTGCCAAATTCTTGTTTCCTCAAATGGTGGAAAGAGGGCAAGAGAGCTCTCTGGGGTCCCTTTTATAAAAAGGCAGTGATCCCATTCATAAAGGCTTGTCCCTGTGACCAAATTGCTTCCCGGAGGCCTCTCCTCTTAATGCCATCACATCGGGCATTAGGATTTAGCATATAAATTTGGGGAGACACATTCAGTCCATAACAGTTGTCAAAGGTTAGTATTTAATAAAGCTGGGTAGTGGGTATAAAGTTATTATGTACCTTCTTATGTTTATCTTGGAATTCTTTCATGATAAAAATGCATTAAGAAGAATTCCTGCAAAAAATACCAGGCTAGACTTTGTTTTTGGATTTTTAAAATGTTTGTTTATTTATTTTCAAAGAGAGAGATGGGGCGTGGGTAGGGGCAGAGAGAAAGGAAGAGAGAGAATCCCAAGCAGGCTCCATGCGGACAGCACAGAGCCTGACGTGGGCTTGATTTCACGACCATGAGATCATGACCTGAGACAAGATCAAGAGTTGGACACTTAACCAACTGAGTCATTCAGGCGCCCACGTTTCTAGATGTTTTTAAAGCTGAAAATGATCATTTAGAGAAGATTAAGCCTCTCTTCTGGAATAATAATTATACACAGCTCTGTATCACCACAATGATGTGAAAAAGTACAAGGAATGATGTCAAATCCCTTCTTGGAGGAATGGTGGAGACCCTTGGCTTTTCGCTCTGGTCTGGGTTCCTCTTCCTTCGTCTGACTGTTGATCTGCACATCCTCCTCTGTGTCCTAGTTTCTGGGCTGGGATATCCGATGCTTTGGGCCAGAGGCAAAGAAAAGGAATCTGATCATCCAAAGCCTCTTTTATTACCCTCCCTCACAGAGAAGTCTGCCTTTAACTGCTTGATTTTGAACTTCTGTGGTGCAAAGCCGGGACAACAGAGTGACAAACAAGAAGCCCACATGGCTGGATTGGCTTACAGTGCAAGGGCAGAATATTATGGGCAGGAGACAAAATGTTCCCGAGGGGTAGGGGGGAGGAAGGGAGAGACAGGAGCCAGCGGGGCCTGGGTTTGACAGCAGAGGTTTGGCGTTTGCCTGTTTTCTTGGCCCCCCAGGTAGTTCTTTTCCTCCTGCTGGTGCGGGAGTCTTCCTCGCTGCTTTTGATCAGCCTCATATGTCAGAGCCGAAGAGGGTTTTTGTTTTGCATTTTTAGGGAGTTAAGAGTCTCTGTCAGATTGGGTCAAACTGGGTCAGAGCTGAAAAATTTCCACAGAGCTGGGACATAGGTATGACACTGGTTCAACGTCTTCCTAGCGTAGAGCTGCCCCGAATTTTAGCGTATGCTACCTTGGTCTCCTGTTAGGTGCGGAGCCCTTCTTTCATTACCTCCTTGACGTCTAACGTCATCCTTGCAGCTGGCATTATTTTCCCCCTTTATCGACAAGAAAGTGGGCTCAGAGGGGCCCACCTACTCCAGGTAACAGGTCATGAAGACGCTTATGTGGATTCTTATCCATGCCTATGATGTGTGTGTGTTTTTAAATGTTTATTTATTTTTGAGAGTGGAGAGGGGCACAGAGAGAGAGAGAGACACAGAGTCTGAAACAGGCTCCAGGCTCTGAGCCATCAGCACAGAGCCCGATGTGGGGCTCAAACTCGGGGATGATGAGACCGTGACCTAGGTCGAAGTTGAACACTTAACCAGCTGAACCACCCAGGTGCCCACGTCTATGATATTTTATACGGAGCTACACCCCCCTAGGTGCTGGTGGATGTGGTCAAGTCTAAGACATGGCCCTGTCATTAAAGAACTTTTTCATTTATCTGGGGACACAAGATACACGCACCTGAAGCATTTAGGCTAACAGTCGTGTGACACAAAGAGAAAGAATCCTATGTGTTTTTAGGGTTTGAGGATATGTCAGAGGCCAGTCATCTACATGATGCTGTTTGCTTTGGCTCAGCTGCCTCCTGTGATCAGAACAGGATCCCACCCCCTGATGTTCCTTTGGCTTTATAGTGAAATGATGTCATATTTCCTCTTTGGAGAAAAAGATTACTCAGCCTACAGATAATCATCAGATGCTCTGGAGAAGTTCTTTGGAAGGAAGGCAGTTTGGCACAGTGATCTTCTGGATAAAAGTGAGCCTTAGTCACAACCCTTGTTGGACTGTGAGCTTCTTAAGGATTGAGGCAGGGTATTTCACATCTGTACGGACACAGCCAGGCCTGGAGTTGCTGTGAAGGAATATCCATGGTTGTCATTGTAGATTTTCCCCACATGGGGATAAAGGGCAGGTAGGTAGGTGGGGGAGGTGGGGGCTGTCTGACCCATTCTAGTAAAGGAAGTCCTCATTGCATCCTTGATAAATGTGGAAGTCTCCAGATTTCATTTCCCTCTGAACCTGAGTAGTTTAGATCCAGAGACCTTGGCAAAGAGCCTAGCTGGCGTGGAGTCCTCCTTGGCTGGCCCCTCACTCTCCAATGGTGTTTGTCCAGCTTGTCTCCCAACCAGGGGGTCCCATGAAGCTTGTTGCACAGCCTCTGGGGCAGAGTTTTCCATGATTTATTATCTACTTTCCTTTGTTGTCTGAGTGCTTCAAGTCTCTGTGGAGACTCTATCCCACAGGAGACCCCTTGGGTGCCAGAGCCGCATACATAGGGTATGAGTCATTTTATAGCCAATGACAACCCTTACTTCCTTCTTTATTTGTTTGGCTCCTGGTGGATCTCTGCCCTTCTCTCCATAGGTTCAGAGAAGCTGTGATCTTTGAATTTGGGGTCTACGGTGAGATCCAGCAACCTGCGTTGGCCACCAGCACCATGGTTCTGAGCAGGTTGGGCCTTTGTGTTCCATCCACCCAGAGAAGAGATGGGGAAGTACCCGGCGACAGGGGAGTCACTCGTTAGAGACCGCTGAGCACCTGCAGAGAGGCTGTTTAGCATCCGGTCTATGCCAAAGCTGGAAACCACAAGCTCAGACCCAGAGAGCATGCAGACGGCGGAAGAAGGTCCTCTCCCAAAAGGACGCCCAGTCTAGAGTAAGGATTCTTGACTTCACTATAACCCAATCCTTTCTTCTGAGTAGTCTCTATTTGTTACCTCATTTCTTCTTTCAAAAGTTCGTTTACCGAGTCACTGGTTTTAAACATCAACCCATTTTTCAAGTAAGGAAATAGAGGCACACAGAATTCCTCTGGTTTGCTTAAGCTCACACTGTAGGGGCACCAGGAGACTTTTGGGGGGTTTTGGGTCCCCTTCATCTCCATCTGCCCCTTCAAGTCACCTCAAATTAACCTATAATCTAAACAAGATCAGCTTGCTTGCTATTTAAGCAGCTTCACGACCAGCTCTGTGGTTCCGCTGAGACTCCCATCCCCTAGGCTTTCCCTTTATTGAAATTCTGCAGTAGTCAAATAGTCCATGAGCAACGGAAGCAAGATAATAAGGTCTTCCTAGAGCACACCACTAAAGTTTTCAAAGAGCCTGCACATCCATTATCACGCTGATAGACATAATATCCCAGGAGACTGGAAGCATAGGTATTATTCCTATTTAAAGCTTAGGAGCTGGAAGCTCAGGAAGTTAGGTTCCTTCTGCTGTGCTGGGCTCCCCAGCTTGCCCCAGGACTGTGGTCTCTTTTGGACACCCAATTGCAGAGACACCCCGTTTGTTTTCTCACGCCTTCGTGTCCTGTTTGCTCCCATGATGGGGAGACTGTCTGTGAGTAGCTTTGAGGAACAGGTCATACCGACTCAGTACAGAAGCTACCAGAATAAAGTGAGAGGCTCTCAGTTAATTGATCAGATTAGACATTAGGAATGCTAATCCCTGGCAGGGGGGTATAGTGGAAAGGGAGTGGGCTGTGGGGTCCGACTGGGCTGTATTTTCCTCCAGACTCTGCCACTTACTAGCTGGTTGAAGCAAGGCTATTGGGAGCCTCACACGTTAGATCCCTTTCTTCCCCTTCAAAGCTGCCTGGCGACAGAGGAATTCTAGGGTTTAGTGGAGTAGAGTTTGAAAAGAGACAATAGGGGCTCCTGGGTGGCTCAGGCAGTTAAGCATCTGACTTCGGCTCAGGTCATGATCTCTTGGTTTGTGGGTTCGAGCCCTACGTCAGGCTCTGTGCTGACAGTGTGGAGCTTGGAGACTGCTTCAGATTCTGTGTCTCCCTCTCTTTCTCTGCCCCTGCCCTGCTCGCACTCTGTCTTTCTCTCTCTCTCAAAAATAAACAAACAGAAAAAAAAGAAGAGATGATAAAGTACAGTTTTTCTGGAAGTTTAAAATTAAGTGCAGGAGCTAAGAAAAGGAAATTATACATGAAATCCGTTCCACATGCACCCCCCACAGGCTAGTGAGAGGGGGTTAGTCCAGATCGGCAGGCCTCAGCCTTGCACACCTCCCCAGGCTTGGGGCCGATAGGCAGGAGGCTGCACAGACATCCACACCCACATTGGATGGCACTTCCTTCTGGAAGTACTGGCGAGCTTCCTGGCCTTCCCGTTGCCTTGAAACCAGTAGCTGAAGGTGGAAAGGAAGCAGCACTCGGGGTCAGCATGATGCTCGGAGTATGTACCTGTTCTTTTATTACATCACAATTTATCGCACGTAGACTATGCCCTGGTGACTTTTTTTGGCACTGGCAACACAGTCATGAACAAAGTCTGTCTTTAATGAGCTGTGTGTGTGTGTGTGTGTGTGTGTGTGTGTGTGCAGGTGTGTGATGCTATAGATAAACAAATAAATGTCTAATAGGTGACAGCAAGGCTGTGACAAAAAACATCAAGGCAAGAAGCCAGTCGGAGAGTAATGGAGTTGTATTTCAGACAGGAGCTCAGAATGGGCTAAAATGACCTTACGCAGAGAATTGAAGGAAGTGCAGGAGGGAGCCACACAGGCAGAGGAACAAAGGCAATAAGAGCAAAGGCCCTGTGCGTCACTTCACGCTGTTTCCTTCCATCTTTAGGCCAGCCCTGTAAACGTGCATTTCGTGTCCCCCAGGTGAAGATGTGAAAAGAGAGACGCAGCAAGATTAAGTGACGTGCCCAAACTAGAGCTGGTCCCTGGTGTTGCCAGAGTCAAACTCAGCTCCTCTGATCTCAGAGGCAGCGCTGGGAACCCCGGAGGTGTGCACCTGACCACGTGAGATGTTGTGGGAGGAGCAGAGAGGTGGGCATGTGGTGAGCGAGAGCAAGGGGGAGCTGGGACCCAGAGGCTCGGCAGCAGCTCCGGGGTCTCTGGCTTTTCACGTCTGCCTCATGCACGCCTAGGCATGGTGGCTGGTTTCTGACAGTTTTGTCAGTGACTTTGTTTTGCAGTTCCTTCACCGCTGGGGACAAATGTCCCAGAGGCCAGGCAGAGAGACACAGGGACACAGGGAGAAATCCGGTCTGTCTCACCAGGCTTGTCAGGTAGCTGTACAAGCAAACAGCTGTAGGAAAGAAGTGTCAGTTTCCCTGCATGAGCCTCACACTGTTTTCCCCTATTCATCAGGGAAAATCTTAGCCAAGGGAACACCTTCTTTTGAAGACATCAAATCGGGCCAAGGGCCTGTGTGGCCTCTCTCTGTATTCAGTCACATTCATGAACGTTCCCCATGAGTGTCCCCTTCCCTGTCGGCTGCTTGCTTGCTCCTGATGTTGCACTTGGCTGGTTTTCTCCACCTGGCGAGGATGCACTGGGTCAATAGTGCCACGGAGCCTCACTGGGCCCCTCCGGCGGGCCTCTGAGCACAGAGAAGTTGACCTCACAGCTGGGGCAGGCACCTGGGAGCAGGGGTGATCCTCAGTGACAGGCAGTGGCAGAGGGAGGTAGCATGGCCCGAGCAGGGAACACTGGGTCTTGTGCCAGGTCTGCGGCCATTTGCATCTCTGTCATGTCCTGGTTCTCTGATCTGATGTAAGCTACTTGCCGTCTCTGAGCCTGTTTTCGTTAAGTACATGAAACGCAGGAAAGTCATACCTCTATGAAGGCTGGGTCATGGGGTCGCAGTCTTGTTGTGGGTTTGGAATGAGATATTGACCTAAGCCCAGCAGAATGTGGCCCATGGAAGGGGCTTCTAAACATCCTCTTTGCCCTCCTTGGAGGGAGGGTCCTCTCCTACTAACACAGGACCTGAACGCTCTGAGGAGGCTGGGCTCCTCCTGAAACTTGCCCAGAAAGCTTTCCTCAATTAACCCATCTCTGGGGACTTACACGATTCCATGAGAAATCCATTCAGTTGGGTTGGACCTTGACCTCCATCTAGGTTTTTCCGTGGCCCTTCAGTTAGGAGGTGGAGGACCTGGGCTATGAAGACACCAAGTAGTCTGACACCTGAGTGTGGTCCTACCCTCTCCCTCTCCTGGCTCCACGGGGACCCCACAGTTTCTCCTCACGGATTTGTCTTTCACACCTCTCCTCCCTGGCCCAACTCACTCTCCCCTGCTGAACCTGACTTTGGCAGTCAAGGATTATCCTGTCCCTCAGGCTGCACACTGTATTCTGGTTGGGAAGTTCTTTCTTGATCTCACCTATCCTGTCTTCCTTCTGGGTCGGACTCACTGTCCCTGCTGTGTTCTCCCAGATGCATGGAAAGGAGCTCATCTTTGGTTGTTGTGGTGCTTGGAGAGTTCTCTGACTTTCCTGGATGACTCTGGGCTCTTCAAGGGCAGGGCTCATGAACCCTTATAGACTTGGTGCCCACTACAATGCTTGACACTCAAGGGGCTCCTTGAGGAGTGCTTGTTTGGGGAAGATGCCAGATTCTAAGTCTGGGTAAATCACATCAGTACATTACAAATCAATAAGTTTCAAATGCTGCTGGCTTCAAAATTTGCCAAGGATTAGATAATTGTAAGATTCTTTCTCCCTTTTTAATGAGTGAAGGGGAATGCATATATGTTAGTGATTCAAATAATGGATTATCCATTCAAGTATTTTACTTATTTAAACCTTTTGAACGGCTTTCTCAGTATAACGATTCAACCCATTTGACAGTTTGAGCTAGTGTCTTGGATCTCAAAGAATGCACTTGGGTCTTGGGCAGCAGAGGAAGAGCTGATCTCGACAATCATGTAGTTTAGATACTTGACTTTGGTTTGGAAATGAAGACTGGGCCCTGTTTTACTTTATTTTTAACTTTTTTCTTTTTAAAAATTTTTTATTTATTTATTTTAATATAATTTCTTGTCAAATTGGCTTCTATACAACACCCAGTGCTCATCCCAACAAGTGCCCTCCTCAATGCCCATCACCCACTTTCTCCTCTCCTCCACCCCCCATAAACCCTCAATTGACTTAAAAAAAATTTAAAGTTTATTTATTTATTTTGAGAGACACAGAGACAGCCTGAATGGGTGAGGGGTGGAGAGAGTGGGGCAGAGAACCCCAAGCAGGTTCCATACCATCAGCACAGAGCTCATTATGGGGCTTGAACCCATGAATCCATGAGCCCAACTGTGAGATCATGACCTGAGCTATAACCCAGTCAGATGCTTAATCAACTGAGCCATCCAGGCACCCCATTTTACTTTATTTAAAAACAAAATTTTTAAAAGTTGATTTATTTATTTTGAAAGAGAAAGGCAAGGAGAGGTAGAGAGAAAGAGAGAGAGAGAGAATCCCAAGCAGACTCTGCACTGTCAGTGCAGAGCCTGATACAGGGCTTGAACTCATGAGCCATGATATCATGACCTGAGCAGAATCAAGATTGGACCCTTAACCCACCGAGCCAGCCAGGTGCCTCCCCACCCATGTTACTTTATTAATTAGCGATTAGGGTGTGCGATGTGCGATGCAATGAAGCCTGTTTGTAACACGAGTCACACAGGCTCTACAGTACGTGTGTGGTGAGTATCTGCTAGGAAGGGTCTCCTTCCTAGGGGTAAGCACTGCCCTTAAACTGCTACATTTTTTAAAAATTTCATGATGTTTCTATTAAACTGCTACATTATAAACCAGATTGCAAAGGGGAGAAACATTCAGCGATTGTGTACTGAAATTTCCCAGAGCCAGCAGAAGCGTGAAGCCTTCTGGGCTGCAATGCAGTTATCTGGCCAGGAAGCCCGTGTTTATAGACCACTCGCTGTGGGGATGTTGAAGAACGGACTTAGGAATGCAGGAATCTGAAGACTTTGACCTTTTTCTGACGGAGTATCTCGATGTGCCTTCGTTGCCAGGAAATCATGGATTGTTAAAGCCAGAAGGAACCTGCTTAATTATTTTTCTAGGGGAAGGAACAAGGGTTTAAGACCTTGTCAACCTGAATTCAAATCCCAGTTTAGACATTTAATTTTTATTTCCCATGCCCCCAGGATCATGACCTGAGCTGAAATCAAGAGTCGGATGCTCAACCAACTGAGCCACCCAAGTGCCCCCAAGGCATTTGTGAGTGTAGGCAAGACATGATACCTTTTCCTCCAGAGGGTCCAAGATAGGGAATAATTCGCTGAAGCTTACGGAACCAGGACACCATTGTTTCAGTTATATATTGTTGCGAATCAAGCCACTCCCAAACGTTGTGGCTTAAAGTAGCAACAATTTCCTATTTAGCTCAGAAATCTGCAATGTGGGGAGGTCCCAGCAGGGAAGGCTGATGTCTGCTGGGCCAGCTCAGCTGGGGGCTGAAGATCTATTTCCCAGATGGCTCAGCCACCTGGCAGCACATTGGTGCAGTGAGAGCTCAGCCGGGGCTGAGGGAGGGAGAGTTTAGTGCCTTCCCATGTGGGCCTTTGTGTAGGCCGTTTGCTCGGGCTGCAGTGACTGGGTTCCAAGAAGCAGGGAGAGAAATAAATTTCTTAACCTCTCAGCCTGGAAGTTGGCATAGCATCCCTTCTCGTATTCTGTCGTCAAGCAGCCACCAAGACCAGGTTCAAGGGAAGTGGCCATAGTTCCCACGTTTTAATGAGAAGAATGTCAAAGAATTTGGGGCCGTGATTTAAAATTGTTATATAATGGAGACATCACATTCTTTCACTTAATCTAAAATGAAATAGGAATTCACCTTTCCTCATTCATCTCTTTCATCTCATTCATCTCTTTCGTGTTAGAAAAATATTGTTATTACTTGAGAAATTTTAATTTCAGTGTAGTTAGTATACAGTGTTATATTAGTTTCAGGTGATTTCAAGTGATTCAACACTTCCATACAACACTCAGTGCTTATCACAAGTGCGCTTCTTGATTCCTGCCACCTATTTAACCCATCCCCCACCCTCCTATAACTCTCAGTTGTTCTCTATAGTTAAGAGTCTGTCTTTCCCCGCCTCCCCTGTTCATTTACTTGTTTCTTAAATTCCACATATGTGTGAAATCTTACGGTATTTGTCTCTGACTTATTTCGCTCAGCATTATACTCTCTAGATCCATTCATATTGTAACGGCAAGATTTCATCCTTTTTTTTTTTAGCTGAGTAATGTTCCATTGTCCACACACACACACACACACACACACACACACAACCCACATCTTCTTTATCCACTCTTCTATCCATGGACTCTTGAGCTGTTTCTATAATTTGACTCTTGTAGGTAATGCTGCAGTAAACATAGAGGTGAATATATTCCTTCAAAGTAGTATTTTCATTGTATTCGGGTAAATACCCAGTAGTAGAATCATTGGATCATAAGGTAGTTTTATTTTTAATCTTTTGAGGACTCTGCATACTGTTTTCCACAGTGGCTGTACAAGTTTGCATTCCAACACATCTTTTTTTATTACCTTCTTTTAAAAAGGGAATTTCCAGTGATCTGCCCAGGATCTCATATCTCAAGTTGATGTTAGAACTTGGATTCAAACTCAATTCTATTGATTCTATCTCTTAATAGCTCTGTTCGCTCTCCATGCCTAGGGCCCATGGCCATCATCACCCCACGCTACCCCCGCGAAACCTCCTCACGTGGCCTTTCTTCTCCCCATAGCCTTGTTCCTCTCCAAACCTACCTTGGCACAGCGCACATGGTCCTTATGAAGGGCAGGAAGCTTTCCTTGCTCCTCTGCTCAAGCTCCTCAGTGCTGTCTGTTGTCCTCAGACTGAAGCTCAGCTCTGTCCTTTCCCTTAACTTGGCTCCCCACTCTCCACAATGTCCTCGCCTCCTCCCCAGGCTCAACAAGAGCTGTCTTCTTTCCATGTTCTACTCTCGGAGGAGTCTACACTTAACTTTTCCTCTACTATGTATTGACCCAAACATGGGTCAATAGAGGGATTATCTGTTTTATTTTTTTTATTAAAAAATTTTATTGAATCATTTTTATTTATTATTGAGACACAGAGAGAGACAGAGCATGAGCACCGGAGGGGCAGAGAGAGGGGGAGACACAGAATCTGAAGGAGGCTCCAGGCTCTGAGCTGGCAGCACAGAGCCTGATGCAGGGCTAGAGCCCACAAACCACGAGATTATGACCTGAGCCGAAGTTGGATTCTTAACCGACTGAGCCACCCAGACACCCCAGGGATTATCTGTTTTAAAGTTTCACCAGTCTATTAGTTAAATTCTTTTGTATTTAACTTTAAAAATTCTTATTCTTATTGTTATTATTTTAAATTTATTTCTTTATATTGAGAGAGAGAGAGAGGGAGAGAGAAAATCCTAAGTGTGTTCCTGATTCCAGCACAGAGCCTGATGTAGGGCTTGATACCATGAACCATGAGACCATGGCCTGAACAGAAACCAAGAGTTGGATGCTCAGCTGACTGAGCCACCCCAGCACCCCTATTATTAATTTTTTTAAGATTCCCTAAATTCTTTTGCATTTAAAGCCACTCACTTATCCTTATCTTCCAGGTTCCAGCTGAGACAACACTTCCTCCAGGAAGCATTCTCTGATTCCTCCAAACTGGACAGGCTTCCCCGCTATTTCCTGCCATAATATCTGCATCCACATCCAGCACTTTAAATTTTGTACTGAACTCGTCTGTTTTCCAGAGCTCTTCACAGACTCGGCATTCTTTGGGGGCAGGGACAGTATCTTGACTTTGCTTTCCTCTTTCGAAATGCAGGATGTCTCAGTGCCTTATCCACACTGGTTCTACTTGAGCTGTCATTGTCTCTGAGGCTATGAATGTCCTGACTCTCAGTTCCACCTATGCAGCCATATGCCCCAAACTGGACCCATGTAACAGAGTTTGTCATGGGGGGCTTTGCCGGGGTGCATGAAGCACGACCCCTCCTCTTTACACTCTTTCTCATCATGTACCTGTTCACCTTGGTGGCGAACTTGGCCATCATCTTGGTGGTGGCTTCAGACCGCCGACTATGTAGGCCCATGTATTTCTTCCTGACAAACTTGTCCTGCCTTGAAATCTGGTACACTTCGGTGACAGTGCCCAAGATGCTGGCTGGTTTTATTGGGGTAGGTGGGGGCAAGAACATCTCTTACACTGGCTGCTTGTCCCAGCTCTTCATCTTTACCTTCCTGGGGGCAACGGAGTGTTTCCTACTGGCTGCAATGGCCTATGACCGCTATGTGGCCATTTGTATGCCTCTCCGATATGCGGCCTTGGTGTCGTGGGGCACCTGCGTCCGTCTGGCAGCTGCTTGTTGGCTGCTGGGCCTCCTCACACCTGTTTTGCCTATCTATCTCATGTCCCAGCTGACATTTTGTGGCCCCAATGTCATCGACCACTTCTTCTGCGATGCCTCACCCCTGCTAGCCTTGTCCTGCTCAGATGTCACCCTGAAGGAGACCACAGACTTTCTAGTTTCTCTGGCAGTGCTCCTGGCCTCCTCCACAGTCATTTCTGTGTCCTATGGCAACATTGTCTGGACATTGCTGCACATCCATTCAGCTGCGGAGCGCAGGAAGGCCTTCTCCACTTGTGCGGCTCACCTGACCGTGGTGAGCCTTTTCTATGGTACTCTTTTCTTCATGTATGTCCGGACCAAAGTGGCCTCCTCCATCAACTTCAATAAGGTGGTGTCCGTCTTCTACTCCATTGTCACACCAATGCTCAATCCCCTTATCTATAGTCTTCGGAACAAGGAGGTGAAGGGAGCTCTGGGCCGAGCTTTTTCCCTCAGGTCCTGGAAAGGTCAGCGACGGGGAAGGTGAGGACTTAATTTTCTTGTGTTGGCTCTTCAGAAGGAGGGTGGTGAGGACAAAGGGGCAGAGTAGTGAGCTGGGTAGTCCGGAGGTATGGATTATGTATTAAAGTAAAATGTTAATCTGCCATAACAAGAGACACCTAACTATAATGGGGCTTAAAGAAGGAAAGAGATTTGTTCTTTCCTGCAAGAGTCCAAGGTGAGTGCTCCAGGTTGGCAGGTGGCTCTGCTCAACAGGCAAAGATGGAAGTTCCCTCATCCTATACGTTCAACATCCCTTAGAATGTTGGCAAACTAAGGGCTGAGGGCCAAATTCAGCTCAACACTTGTTTTTAATGATCTGTAAGCTAAGAATGGTTTTTATACTTTTAAATGGTTGTAAACAAATCAAAAGTAGACTAATATTTCATGACACATGATCATTTTATTTTTTAATTTTTAATTTTAGAGAGAGAGCAAGGGAGGGGCAGAGGTAGAGAGAGAGAGAGAGAGACATACAGAGAGAAAATTCCAAGCAGGCTCCATGCTCAGCTCAATCTTACGACCGTAAGATGATGACCTGAGCTGAAATCAAGAGTCAGACACTCAGCTGACTCAGGCACCCAGGTGCCCCGACACATAATCATTTTCTAAAATTAAAATTTCAGTGTCCATAAGTCAAGTTTTACTAGAATACGCTCACACTATATGTGTTGTCTATGGTTCCTTTTGTGCTACAATGACAGAGTTGAGTACTTGTGATAAAGACCATATGCCAACCCTCCATCTAGGGCCTTCTTGTTATTTACATGGTCAGCACAAGGCTCTAGTGGGCAAGAAGGGTGAGGATAGATCAAGGAGGAAACAAACCCCATATCTTAAAGTTTCTCCACTAGATGTAAGAAACCATCATTTCTACTCACCTCTATTGGTGAGAAATTAGCCATAACTCACACCTATTCACCAAGGTGCTAAAAATAGTGTATATCTAGGTAGCCAGGTACCCAGCCCCAATTTAATTATTGTGGAGAAAAAAGAGAACAAAGTTTGGCAGACACCTAGTGGTTTCCACCACAAAGTCCCAGAATCATGGTTGATTTTCTATGTGATCCTTAATTTCTTTGTAGCTACATTGTCTTCTTTGAAATACAGGCCCATCTGACTTTTATACCACCCTGTACTTTGAAAATGCATTTAAGAAGATCTGTATGGTAATGTCAGCTCACTTGAGGTAAGGCTTAAAAGACTATAGTAATTCAAGTAGTTCCCTAAACGTAGATAGTTGTATCTTAAAGACATTTAAAATCATCATTTGAATATAGATTCCAGAAACTATAGTCTATGGAAGGGGAAAATGCTGAGGCTGGGTCAAGGGAAGGACAGATTCTTCTGTGATGGTTTCTCAACTGGCCAAGAACAAGCAGATTACGTGACGGTGCCCATAGCAACAGTGTCTACACTCCCCGCCCAACCCAGTATCTTAGCTGTTGCACTTTTAATGGTTAGCAGAGAAGGCACAAATCATACGTTTTGAAAACCGTTTCATTTATTGACTATTATATCAGTAATGTGCTTTAGATTCTTTTGGATGATGGCAGGATGCAAAAACAGTGCAAAGATGAGAACCCTGCAGGATCAAAATTAAGAATTCATATGAATGAAATAGGAGTAGAACTTTCACACACCTGACCTGAGTAGACTTGAACACAAAATGCATTTGACTTTTAGGTTTCTGGCTGAAGGAAACAAACAGAACATACTGGGTATATAAGAATTCTCCAGAGAAACAGAACCAAGAGGATCTATCATTTATCTATCTATCTATCTATCTATCTAAATATCTAAATCTCTCTATCTATCTAAATATCTATCTATCTATCTATCTATCTATCTATCTATCTATGTAAATATCTATCATAAACCCACCTACCTTTTATAATGATATAACTCTCTATCTATTTAGATAGATTGAGAGATGGCTATAAGAAGAAATTTATTATAGGTATTGGCTGGGACAATATGGAGGCTGGGAGGTTCCATGATCTGTCATTTGATAGCTGGAGAGGCAAGGAAATCAGAGGTGTCATTCAGTCTGAGCCTGAAGGTTTGAGAACTGGAGGAGCCTATGGTGTAGGTCCTGGTCTGACACCGAAGGCCCAAGAACCAGGGGTGCTAATGTCCAAGGGCAGGAGAAGACGGATGTCCCAGCACAGGCCAAGAGAGCAAATTCTGCCTTCTTCCCCTTTTTTGTTCATTCAGGCACTCAATGGACTGGATTATGCCCACCAATATTGGTGAGGGCACTCTTATTATTATTATTTTTTAAATTATTTATTTAAATTCAAGTTAGTGTGTAGTATTGGTTTCTGGAGTAGAACCCAGTGATTCATCACTTACATATGACACCCAGTGAGAGCAATCTTCTTTATTCGGTCTGCTTATTTAAATGCTGATCTCTTCAGAAAAACACCCTTGCAGACACACCCAAAATAACATTTTAAAGGCTGTACATCACTTAGCCCAGTGAAGCTGACACATAGAATTAACCATCACACCAGGTCAAGACATTCTCCTTTATGGTTCCAGAAAGAACTCAAATTCAAACCCAGGGAATGCCTTCTGGATTTTGACTCTAAGAACAACTCTATGGGAAGTATCAGTAGATGCTTCCAATTCTGAGCTTGTGGAAGAAAGAGTCTATATTTTTTGAGATACATTACTTAAAATGGTAAAAACTCAGAGATAGACTTTTAGAGAGGATCCTACACATGTAAAAGTGCATCTTGCTTTAATAAAACTTGATATAAGAAAATAAACTGATAATATGGTATTATGTGTCCACTATACTTCAATTAAAAAAAAAGAAAAGATGGAAAAAAAAGGCCTTTGTGAGTGTGATTATTTACACTGTAGAACAATCACTCCCTTAAAAAAAAAAAGCCCCATGTGGAAACTAATTTGACAGTAAACTATTTGTAAAAAAAAAAAAAAAAAAAAAAAATATATATATATATATATATATATACTCCCTAAGGAAAAAAAAAAGCCCCAATCTGGAGTGTTTGTGAGGTACATGATATGTGTAGGTATTAACAGCTGAGGATTTTATTTTTAATTAATTAATTAATTAATTACCTTCTGACTTCATTTTCATATTATAACCAACACAATATTACATTAGTTTAAGAGGTACAAAATGGTGATTCGATATTTTTTCACATTATGAAATAATCACCTTGATAAGTCTAGTTACCGTCAGTCACTAAGTGAAGTGAGTACAATGTTAATAACTGTACTCCTTATGCTGTCTGTACATTACAACATGGTGACTTACTTTAAACAGGAAGTTTGTGACAGTGAATGTTTTTATTTGTATATTTTTAAGTTTATTTATTTTGAGAGAGACAGAGACAGCACGAGTGGGGGAGAAGAAGAGAGGGAGGTAGAGAATCCCAAGCAGCCTCCAAATTGTCAGCGCGGAGCCTGATGTAGGGCTCGAACCCATAAAACCATGAGATCATTACCTGAGTCGAAACTAAGAGTCAGATGCTTAACCAACTGAGCCACCCAGGTGCCTCTATTTTTTTAGTTTTTAATTAATTAAAATTTTTTTCATGTTTCTTGATTTTGAGAGAGAGAATGAACACATGTGTGTGTGAGTGGACGAGGGGCAGAGAAGAGACGGAAAGAGAGAATCTCAAGCAGGCTCCTTGCTGTCAGCACAAAGCCCCAACAGAGAGCCCAGTGCAGAGCCCAAAGCTGGACTTGATCTGCAGAGCCCAACATGGGGCTCGATCTCATGACCTGTGAGCTCATGACTTGAGCCAAGATCAACAGCTGGTCGCTTAACCAACTGAGCCACGCAGGCAATCTGACAGTTTTTAAAGCCGTTAGTAATGGTAGATCATTCTGCAATGAAGATATATATGAAATCATGACAGGAAAAATATATTTCCTTATAAAGGGAATTTCTGAGAATATAATTTATCCTTTGGGGGTATATTTGTTCCTTGAGTGAAACATAGGCAGGTTAAGTGTTAACAGTACTTAGACATTACTTTACTGGAATCCAGAGAATGTCACAATGAATAATTAGAAATAAGACTTATTAAGATAGAATTCTGTAAGGAGCACTGCTCATCTTGTTCTGTCCATTCTGGGTACCAAGATATTGACTGAATTGTTAGGGACTGTCTGGGAGCCATCCAGGAGAGGGTCCTTTGACTTACAACTTGGTGTGAATGACTGGATCTACATACTGAAATCAGAAATCTACAGTTTGCTGTGTACCATTATGTATCCATTTTGAAGGCTTTGATGCAGGTATATGTACCTAAGGCCCAACTGGACCCCCTTCTATGATTCCATATTCTTCTTACCCTTGGCACCTTGGTCTTTTGTTGGTCTCTCACTTTTCAGATTTCACACGTGAAGTCCTTATAAATTGATTTCTTTTTTTTCTTAGAGTTTATTTATTGTGAGAGAGAGAACAGGCGAGGAGCAGAGAGAAAGGGAGAGAGAATCCCAAGCAGGATCTAAGTTGACACCGCAGAGCCCATCATGGGGCTCAAACGCACAAACCATGCAGTCATGACCTGAGCTGAAACCAAAAGTCAGATGCTTAACTGACTGAGCTACCCAGACATTCTCTTAGCAGTTGATCTCTAAGCTATGTTTGTCAAAACACCGGCTTTGGCTGTGAAATGCTACTGCCTTCTGTTTCTCTACATTGAGTCTTCTCTCTCTATATCCTTGTTTTCATTGTCAGCTTCATTGTCATTGGCCTAAATATCATCCTTGGCCATCCATGGCAAGATGAGAGCATTTTATTTTATTTATTTTAAAAATTTTAAATTATATTACAACTATATTTAAATAAACTATATTTAAAATTATATTAAAACTATGTTTACGTAGGCTCTACACCCAATGTGGGGCTTGAACTCACAACTCTGGGATCAGAAGCCAGATGCTTCGCTGACTAAGCCAGCCAGCCACCCCACAATAGGAATATTTTAAACCCCTTTTAGCAGGAACTTAAAATGGATCTCATCACCCAGAAACGTGGATGCTTCAGTACCTTGAGACGGTGTGTGTAGCACCATTCAGCTCCGTCCCCCCCAGAGAGCAGTCCAGGAGCACTAAAACTTAGTTAACTCATGCCCAGTGTTTTGTCAGCTTC